TTTGTCAGGGGTATTGTTGATGTTCTGTAGGCTGGCTGCACGACTAGCGACTGGTCAGTACTCAGGCTTAGAGATCGCTCGTGCTAGTCTCTATTTGTTACGTAACGTAAATGATCGTAACGTAATCCATGTTTTAGTACAACCAATAATTTCCCTTCTGTTCCTGACTGAAATCAAACGTATACGCAAGTATGTTTCTGTTTTAATTATTGTCTTTCTGTGACTATCTAGGTGTAAACTTAATACATGACATCGTGACATCGTTCAATAAGTAGTTCCAGAACAAGGTTTGAGACAAATTGGTTATTAAAATACAAAGTTTTTCAAAGTAGTTAAAAAGTGGCTTATCCGAGTTTGTAAGCAACCTAAAAGCGAAAAGGTGCGCGCGATTCATCTGCGGTCACAATTGGCGCATAATAGCGGCGTTCGGCGCTCAGTGCCGCGTCGCCGCCCGCATGCCCGCCACGCGCCGCCTGCTCACCGCGCGCTGGTTCGCGCGCCGCCGACAGCCTGACGAAGATGACGCCCGTCCCAGGACTCTCCCGCGCTCCGACATGGACCGGAGACCTCGAGTCTCTCGCGTCCTCTCCTCCCCTGCTCGAACACAACATCAGACGCACCCTCCGATTGACGAAGAGTCTCTCGAACGAGCCTACCCCTCCATGGGCCACCTGGAGTACGTCAACGCTGGCTCCTCGCCTCCCGCCGAGAGCGCTCCGAACATGTACGACAGCTTCGAAGAACCTCCCCTCGACCTAACTGCGCACATTTGCGGAGACTCGTTACGTCAGAGCGCGCACGAGCAGATGCGCGCCGTCGGCGGACGTCTGCGATTACTGGACGAGCTAGAGACCGGGGTCATTACCGCAGATTCCGCTGCAACTACTTTCTCGACAGCAACCGAAGCTGAGAAGAATGTATGCCTATTTTGGGCGGCCTTCTTGAAACTTGCCAACCTACTACAGCCCCTGATTGAGGTTGGAGCCGACCCATTATACTTTGATGCCTTAGGACTGTCCCCGCTTCATGTAGCGGCCTTCAGTGGATCGACGGAATGCGCTAACTACCTGCTATCCTGTGGCTCGGACCCTAATTACATGCCGAGATGCTTTGCTCCACTCCATTGTGCCGCGTTCGGGAACTCAGTGCAAGTGGCTAATTTGCTAATCAGCCGCGGTGCATCCGTACATTGCGCTGTGAAGTACGTCAACTGTGAAGGAGGCTTGCTCCATTGTGCCGTGCGAGCTAACTCCGTGGAATGCCTTAAATTGTTTATATCCCACGGTGTCGACGTGAATCAAATCGAGCCGGGCGGCACTAACGCTATACATCTAGCCGCTGATTTAGGAATGTTCCAGTGTCTAACAATACTGCTCGAGACGCCCGGCGCAGACCCCAACGTGCGCACGCGCGTTGGTGACAGAGAGTCGACGGCTTTACATCTGGCAGCGGACGGCGGCTTTGTGGATTGTGTGGATTTGTTGTTATCTAAAGGGGCTGATGCCAGTTTAAAGAATCACAGAGGTTTTACTGCACTCCATCTAGCTGCTCGATCGTCGAGTTTGGAGTGCGTAGAGTCCTTACTTAGAAAAGGGAACGCAGAACCGAACGCCAACGACTTCGACATGAGGACCCCATTACACGCCGCTATAGGCAAGTCTGATAGCGCTTGCGATATTATCGAAACTTTGATAAGTTGGGGAGCTAATGTAAATCAGAAAGATGAATACGGCTTCACGCCACTGCACCTGGCTGCTCTCGACGGGCTGTCAGCGTGCGTGGAGACACTAATCTACCACGGTGCTGACGTCACGACACGATCTAAAAAAGGAAACTCGGCGCTTAATGTAATAGCTCGAAAAACGCCGGCGTCTCTAGCAATGGTAACTAGAAAATTAGACTGTGCGATCACACTGCGTCACTCACAGACGAGCAATAGAGAAGTCGAACTAGAGCTAGACTTTCGTAGCATACTTCATCACTGCTACCCACGGGAGATTAGTTATTTAAATACTTTCGTCGATGAAGGGCAAAAAGAGGTTCTTCTACATCCACTATGTTCGGCATTCTTATACATAAAATGGGAGAAAATACGTAAATATTATGTAGCTCGCCTGTTTCTTAGTTTCATATTTGTTCTATGTCTAACACTATACGTGCTGACTGCTTTGGCCCATAATTGTTACAACGGCAGTAAAGATATGGAGGAAACGATTCAAGAACAAGAACTGTGTCAAAAGCAATCAATTCTCGGAGACCTACTAAGGAAAAATCCATTCGTAATAGAAATGCAGTGGTGGGTGCTAGCCGGTATCACGATATTTGAGATATTCAGGAAAGTTTACGGTATCGCCGGATATTCTACTGTGAAACAATATTTGATGCAATCTGAGAATATTATTGAATGGTTCGTGATTGTGAGCGTGTTTCTCATATCCTATATCTACACTAACATCACATACACCTGGCAGAACCATGTTGGAGCATTCGCAGTACTCGCTGGCTGGACAAACTTAATGATGATGATAGGACAACTGCCTGTGTTCGGAACCTACGTCGCCATGTACCAAAAAGTTCAAAAGGAATTTGCTAAGTTATTGATGGCCTACTCCTGTATATTAATCGGTTTTACTATAAGTTTTTGTGTTATATTCCCCGATTCTTCATCTTTCGCGAACCCTTTCATGGGTTTTATAACAGTCTTGACGATGATGATTGGCGAACTCAATTTAGATTTATTGCTTAACGAGCCAGATGGTAACGATCCGCCTGTCCTCTTGGAATTCTCAGCGCAAATCACTTATGTATTATTTTTAATGTTTGTAACTGTAGTTCTTATGAACTTGCTAGTAGGTATAGCTGTTCACGATATTCAAGGATTAAGGAAGACTGCTGGTCTCTCTAAGTTGGTCAGACAGACAAAGTTGATATCCTACATGGAGCTGGCGTTATTTAACGGTTACCTGCCGAAATGTCTGTTAAAAATTCTACACTCGTCGGCTCTAGTATCTCCACAGGCCTATCGAGTGGTGCTGAGTGTGAAACCATTGAACCCGAGCGAGAAGCGTTTGCCACGGGATATAATGATGGCTGCCTACGAAATAGCGAAAATGAGGAAACAATATGGTCACACGATATCATCGAGCGGGTCGACGACAGGTGCATACTCCTGCTTCAAGAAGTACGAGAACAACAATGACTCGGGCTACAGAGAGTACGGGTACTCCTCAGGACTGGGCAGCCTCCAGGCCAGGTTGGATGAAACATCGGAGAACGTGCGTCAGTTGACTCAGGAAGTGAGAGAATTAAAGAAACTGATAAACGCTCAACAGCTTGTGTTACAGCAAGCGTTGTCCGGCGCGATGGACCTTTGATGATATAATGGCAGCCGTTTACTTTCAATGCCACTGTACACAAGTCAATAAACTACAGTGCGTATTGTACAGCTCGCTATGACTGTCTGACTTAAATTCTTATTGAGTGGTGATATTTTTATTCTTTTAAATTGTTTTTTTCATAGTAAGCCCATTAGGTACATAGGTATTACACCGTCATTCATTTTAATTAGTTCTAGTAATATAACTATGATAATATTATGAGGTTTTGTTGTTATTTTCGGTGTAATTATTATTTAGAAATAGGGGTTGGAGTCGAAGACTCTGTTCATTACACAGTTGTGTTGTGCCGGAATTGATTAGGTAGGTATCTACATTTAAGGGCTGGTCCCAAACTAAGATTAGCTGTTCTATTTGTAAAGAGGTTAGGCCTAACTATTAGGTAAGAGATATTGATGTAATGTACCTATTTATTAAACTGTAGATGGATGGAGTCTAGCTGGGGTATTTTATTATTGTTTGACGTTGAAAGCACTGGACACTGTGATTGTAGGTAATTTATATTATGCTATAATAGATTCTATTGTGATATTATTCGTGTCAATAAAATTATTTTTCAACGTACAATGGTGTTTTTTTTGCATAGGTAATTAAATATTATCTCGTAAGATACCTAATGACAAAGAAGACATAACTGATTTACATAAACATTGTAGCAATATTGCTGTAACCGTTTCAAGGAAAATGTTAACTGACTAATTAAAACTTTACACTCAACAAAATTTAAAACAGCTTAATTCCATCTCCATGTAAATAATTAGGTACCTACTTACATAAGATTCAAGACATGATTTACTTTTTTAAATCTACGCTACGCCCGACTATTTTTATATCTTTTTTTTTATTCTTTACGATTTTACGTTAAACTTAAAAAATAGAACGCAGCGATTATTTCCAATTTTATAGAACCGCGCCATTCCATACTTGAATATTTGAACATTCCCGCCCATGTCCGCGCCGGCCACCCCATCCCACTTTCCCGCCCCATGTTTCGCGCGCAACTCGAGTGACAGCTGTGAAAGGGTCGACTGAGATTCTTATTAGACGAAAATAAACATATTTTGCCTGAATTTGTGTTTAAAAACTTCTAATTCTGTGAAAATTTTTATATAGTGTACTACTATAGTGCGAATATCCATTTATTTACATTGAATTTTTATGTTTTAACTTGATTTCTGAATGATAACAGCAAAAATATCGAAACATAACCTTCTAATTTTCCATTGCTATTATTTTTCCTGTATGAGTTTTCATTTTCTAACTGGAATTTAGAAAAATGTGGTGAATAAACAAAAGAAAAAGTGCGTCATCGATGTCGGATGCACCGGATGCACTATCTAGACCGGACATCATAAATTATTTGACGTTTAATAACTTGACATAATAATAACAATGTTGAATGTTGACGTAAATTACCCATGCGCGGACCGCTATAAACCGGTCGATAATCAATAGCCTGAAGAGCACAGGATATCTAGATTCAGGTCTTGTCTCTTTCGAACTACCCCTTCCTACTGCCCCTACCTACGACCCCTGCATCGCGCCGGGCTCGCCACCTTTATTGATTTGAGTGCAGTTCGGTGAGCGGGTCATTCTACCCGGTGCTCCAATGCAGGGCAGTTTCAAGATCCAGCTCATCAACATGGGAACTCGGGCGGCGGCATGTGAGTATACCTGTATTATTAGCGCTTAAATTAAATTCAGTGAACGCCTTGCATGGAAATTAACGCGTTTGTTTTTCAGAATTGTATGAGGGGCGTCGTTGAGTAGTGCTTTATATGTGTCCAAATGCAGGGACCACAGGATACCATGCAGTATTCGGTTTCGGATTCAGAGCTGAGCTTGAAAGGTGAGCTCGTACAAGCGAGCTAATTTTTGTGGCACTTTTTGTTCCGGCACGTTAGCTTGCCTTGTCCCTTCAACTGTTGGGGTTACCATCTGTGTCTTATTCATAGCGATTTTATAACTATTTCTTGTGTGCACAGTCCCCACTAAAAGCAGTATTTTACTTAGATAGTCTAGGCATTTAAAATAATTATCTAGGATCAGTGCGCTAGTTAACTTATAAATATTTTTTTTCTCTTACAGTTGCAGTATTGATATAAATATTATCTGTATATATTATTATAGATAGAATTTCACATCATATTTATTAAAAAATAATTAGAATTTAATTTTTCATAGAAAAAAACATTCCTAGATGCAAAATTAGTAAATAAAAATTACTTAGTATGCTTGCACTTTGTAAACAAGTGTAGTATATTTTTTGGTATTTAGCATATTATTCTAAAGTAAATATTCAGTTAAATTCACACTTGCCCCATGAGGGGTTGGCAGAAGCCTATTTATTACATTTTATTACTATAATTACTTTTTTAACCTTTTTAAAATCAAGTTCTTGTGTCACTTGCTACTAAACAAAATAAAAATTTCACTTTTGCTAATGCAATTTGTTCAATTTGCAAAATTAATTAATTATGCATAAATGGTTTACTGCTATAGCATTTGTTTTTGATAATATTGTTATTTTATTCATTAATCATTGCGAACAAGAAACAGAACTTTATACCAAGCAGTCATAAGGCATAAAATGCAACAGCCACTGACATGATTGCACAAAATATCTAACATTTTGATTTAAAAACAGACTTAATTAGGGTAACCACAAACAATATTAACTACTTAATAAATTGTGCATGTAATTAGCAAACAAAAAAAAAAAATAAAAAGACATAATACTTCAGGATGGTAACCCTGTTTCCCTTCTAGGTTTCTTGTGTGCATTACCTATAGGTTGATTGGTGTTGGTGTCCGACCCTGCTCCGTTGTTTGCCCGACCCTAGAATGTCCATACATTGTGTGTTTAGTTCTACAAAAACAAATACCCTGTTGTTGTTTCAATGTTATATGTATCTCTGATTCTGTTAATTTTGTGGCCAAACTGTATTGCTAAGCATGTGTGTCCGTTTTTGAACTGCGATTTGTGTCTCAGCCAACATTGTGTTGTACTTAAATGATAAAAGCATAGTATGTTGTCTTTTCAACATATTTATTGAACTTAAAACGTCACAATGTGTTTTTTTGTGGAAACTTCTAAACCAAAATATAAGCCAAGTTTTGCGCATGCGCGCAGATGATTTTCCGGCAGTTTCGCTGTTTAGATTCGCCGCGAGTTTAAGCTTTCCGCGATTACTTTTAATTACAAAATTGTAAAATCTAAAAACAAAAATCGTCGTATTGAACTTAGGATCTCAAGATCAGCAGTTGTTATGTGTAATACCATTGTACGAATGATACATAATATCACGCTATTTAAAAAAAGAAGAAGGAGCGCCAGTTATGTTGATATCTGAGTAGTAAGGAATTTCACTTTTGTCATACCTCAGGCACAATTCCAAACTCCGTGCTATTACAGTTAGTAACTATTTAGCAATGTGTTTATCGTTTATCGCTGTATTGCACCAAGGAATCGTACCCGAGACTCTTTGCTCAGCAACTACACTTGCGACCACGTGTCCAAAGGGGTATAGTAGTCTATATACTAGCGAATTATAATATTTATAAATGGTGACTTCGACGGGTTCGACTTACAAAATAATTTAATCTGGAAACCTCAAATATTGTGGAATCTAGAACGAATTTCCGTGCGTTTAGGCGTTTTTGCCATACCTATTATTGGAAGCAAGTATAACAACTCACACATAGGACCCACTTAGTTTTTAGTCAAATTTCCGTGGTGCTTGGCGACTGGGCTTCACCCAGATGTAGTCTCTTCTTTGTGCCTTTAGGCTTAATAAATTCTGTCTCCTGCAGTAATTCACCGAGGGAAGTGGAAACCATAGTTTTTTCTTCTCCTCTTATAATATCTTCTGATTTACTTCGTTGCGGGAACCAAGATAGTTACTCATGTCCCTGGGGCGCGCCGGACTTCAGTGTTCTGGTGTTTTCATGGTTGTATCTACTGTAGATCCTGGCTTACAGGAGTTGCAGCGGTTTTGGGAGGTTGTGGCGGGCTTGTCCCATAAAAAAAAACCTCAAATATACGCGGGCGGCACGTCTGATGCGTTGCCGGTTGCCGCTTACTAGGTATTTAATAATTATATAAATAGTCACAATTATTATTAAATTAAATTAGAGATATAGACTCATGCTCTGTCAATATTATAATGTAAGTATATTACATTACATCATCACGCCTTTTATCCTCGAAGGGGTAGGCAGATGTGCACTTAATGCCACTGTACAATGGGTTTTTACTATCTATGTTATGAGGCCCATGTAATAGGGGGTGAGCCTACTGCCATATACCGGGCAAAATTCCGCACTCCGTGCTACTACTGTGTATTTTTTGAAAACCCAGTAATACATTGCCCGAGAATCGAACCCGAGACCCCTTGCGCGGCACTTGCGACCACTCGGCCAACGAGGCAGTATGAAGAATAACCCCTGTATATCACTCCAAAACGGAGAACAGACGCTACATAGCATAGCGGTACATATGCTACCAAATTTAAGTGTTTCATTAAATTATTTTGACAAGTTGTGGAATACTTAAGCATATTATTATTATTTATTAATTTGTTTTGACAAGTTATGTCCGTATATGGGATTTCCATGGTAATTGACTATCTTTCAAATCTAAAACTTAGCATTATTTGTTTCGGATATTCGTTGGCTCGCATATACTGTGCATCCACTTCTTAACTTCTTGTTGATAGAACTAGGTACTGAGTACAATGTATAATTAATTTGTGATTTTTGAAGTCGGTTTTTTTAAACGTAGTTTTATTAACGATTTTATTATGTTAAGTAATTGTAACAGATCTCTTAGTTTCATAAATAAGCATTTGTTATAATTAGTGATTGATATACATGTGTGAGATTTGATTAATGCTGAGGCAATTTCTTTAGGGTCACTTACCTATATCCATATTACCTTCACATATTTATCGATATTGGTTCAGGTTCGACATGTTTTTGTATAGGGCATTTAAAGATCTGAGCTGTGTGGTCGGATAATGCTAACAATCCTCAAATTCTTAACTCGTCGAGTACCGTCATTATAGACCCAAATACAGGACAATAGGTTGCGGTCACCGGTGACGGTGACCGCTTGGTGTTTGACAGTTTAATACCAAAAGGCCGGTAACGTACTTGCAACGCCTCTGGTGTTCCAGGTGGACCTGCGACGCCGATTGCTTACCATCAGGTGATAAGTCTGCTCGTTTACCGGCTTATATCATAAAGAACTCTAATATTTGTCCGCAACCTCCTTTAACATTGTGATAAATATTATATCACATCACATCAACAGCCTATAAATACCCACTGCGAAGCAAAACCTCTTCTCACTCTCTCGTGTGGTGATTAATGCTCATACCTTCTCAGGTTTGAGCATTAATCACCACGCTTGCTCAATGAGGATTGGCGGTTTTAAACTTATAACTAGAATTATAACCTCAGGTTTCCTCTCGATGTTTTCCTTCACCGTTTGACAGTGGTGTCTAAATAATCTTAGGAAGTAGTACCTACATAGTATAATTTGGAAAAAGTTACATTGGTTCTTGCCGTTGGTAGGTTTCGAATCCGAACCTTCATGTATAAGAAGCGGGAGTCTTAAACCTCGCTTCGGGCCACCACGATATTATATGTATAGATATTAGATCCATGTTCCACTAGCTGTCCTCCTAAGTTGGTTAATATTTTGTTTAAGGTTATAATTTGAGAGAAGGTTCCTGAGGTCGGTTGATAGCCTTGTAGGTATCTAGTAGAAGATTTATATTAAAATCTCCGCTGAGTAGTACTTTATTACCCGCGTTGGGTGTACACATTGCTCGTGAACGATTAATTTTATGAAAGAAAATCAATGTTTTATCTTTTTTCTGTTAAGAAGGTCTAAACATACATACAGATAATTATTCATTCAATTGGTAATTCGACTGCACAGCATTCAATAACGTTACTAATACCTCACAAACTCACCTTTGGGCACTTTGTTGTTTGCGGTAGTGCTGGTGAAGAGTTGACCTATTCCTCGCTTCTATTTCTCAAAATTAATGTCGGGCTGTACGGTAACTACACGACCTCACCTACCCTACCCACAGTATGTTCGTTCTTTCTTATTATTTCCTTTGGTGACGGTACCCGATATACTTATTTATGTATGTATATTTATTGTTTAACTATCTTCTTTTTTATTTCCTTTTTTTTATAATTGTAACAAAATGATCTGTTCAGTGATCAAGTAATTTTATTATTTAATTTTTATTATTTATAATTTTATTAACTCGTTGAGTACCGTCATTATAGACACAATTAGGAATAAGAACAATAGGTTGCGGTTACCGGTGGCCGGTGACCGCTCGGTGTTTGACAGTTATCCTTTTTACAAAATTTCTCGTTGCTTTCGTCCGTAGTTCACTGCAAGGGTGCCAACTGAAAACCAGTGTTGGGGACTTATTGTGCCCAACTAATACTGAGTTGGCAAGCCCTTTTGCCATGGGCATGTTGCCACCTTATTGTTTTTTTTTTAAATATTTATATGTATGGTGCATTATGCGTAATGGCAAATAAATTTTTTTTCTTTCTTTCTTTCTATTCAATAACATTAAGAACCTTATATTCGTGCAAACGTCTCACTAGTATACAAGTCCTCCCATTCCTA